GAGCATTTCTACCAAAAACAAGTCTTTTCTTAATAAGTCAAAAGCCTGAACACCAATAATTTGTCCTCTTATTGTTTTATTTTAAAAGAGCGTTGTTTATTTATTTAGCATTAGAAACTAAATTAAATAAGCTAATATGTTCCCTACACTGTCCCTGTATTTTTTTTTTTAAGTCATGAATCTATTTTGGCAACACAGAGGTATATTTTTTGAATGGTCACAAGTCCTACATGTGAAAAAGACATTAGAGAACCTGTTTTTTCCTTAAATGACAGTGTCCCTTTCTAACTGAATAGTGATAGAATCAATTGATAGCATTTTCCTCATGACAACACATCCAAAGAATAAAAAGGCTCCATTTTTTTCACATTATTTCAAAACTTATCAGTGGAATGGCTCTGCACATGAATTTCATTAAGAGTACATAAATATAGGAAAATAGTTCCCAAACGATGCATTTATGAGCCTGTATTTTTCAACATAAAGTGCTAACAGATGAATAAGGGGATCAGGAATGTCTTGAGCTGTAAATCTTGAGAGCCACCCCCACACTGTGGTGGGTCTTGGAGTTCAGCATTCAGATTTTTTCTTAGGTTCAACATGATCGTCCAAGGTGGCTGGATGCTCATTTGGGCCATCTGGTGTCTCACCTGTGACAGCTAAGAGAATGATTTTCAGCCACTTCTGTTTCAGTTCCTCACTGTCTGCAGCAAAGCTGTGCACAGACTTGGACTGAGTCAGTTTGAAGCTGTGTGGGAGGTCAGCACTTCTTGGCATGTCATCCACAGTGTAGCCCAGAAGTGGAATGGTGGCCTGGGCTCTGACATCCTAAAGAAAACATAAGCATCAATGTGAAATGTCTTAGCTTGCTGCCCCTTTTGCAACCACTGCCCAGCACAGACTCATACAATGAGCTCTCCATGGGCACACTGCCTACATATGAGGCCTCTCATAATGGTGCCTTAAATGACTTCGCAAACGTAAGCTGACTTCCTAACCAGCTAGGACTTAGTGAAGCTACACCTCCTCTCAGTGAGAAAGCCCATTCAGTGAAAAGAGAGAGAAAATAAGTTACTCATTGTATAAATCTAGCAAATGTTAACATTGATTTCATTAACATGTGAGTTTTAGTTGGTGATTCCCTCATTTATTCATCTATTTATTTATGGGAAGAAAAAAGGTTACAGGGAAAACAATGAAAGGACTTTTAAAAGTTTGTAGAAAAATGACGGAATTTTTATACTTACGTTTTATACTTGTATACTTTGGTATTTTTAGTCTATACCCAATCCTCATATATTGGCATGGTTAAGTTCTAAAGCCAGGTTGTTATGTGAAAACAGAGAATGACTATATCATTACATAACTGCCAAGCCACTGAGAATCAACCAAGTTGACACATGACCATGACAGCCAGTATAATTTGTCTTACTGCCAGACATACGCCATTAATGTGCAAAATAGTTGGAAAGAATTTTTTTTTTACTATTGTTATAAATGAGAAATGTCAAATAACAAGATAGTGTACTGCTAAAACTAATTTGACTAGGTCTTAATGTAGACACAAGTCTTGGTGTGGTGCTGTAAGATAAGCCCTGAATTGCTAACCACAAGGTAGGCAATTTAAACCCACCAGCTTGCTCCTCAGAAGCCCTATACAGGGTTGCTATGAGTCAGAACTGACTTGATGACCCTTAACAACAACAATGTAGACACAAATTAAAGTGCAACAGCCACATTTTAAAACTTTTATATTTTTAGATTACATATTTGGTGTAAGTGTTGTTTTCTTTTAAATTAATTCTGTACAGTTAAGGAACTATTAACTTATATTCATCATGTTGTTCAACCACCATTGAATCCATTCTATATCTTTTCCTCTCCCTTAATATGATCTTAGTTTTCTCTAGATATCAAATCTTCCCATCCACCTGCTCCTGGTAACCACAATACTTTTGATTCTGCACACTTGTCTATTTTTTATATTTAATATAAGTGGGATTATACAATATTTAAGGAGCTCTGGTAGCGTAGTGGCTACGAATTGGACTGCAAACCGTAAGGTCAGCAGTGATGTTCCACGGGAGAAAGATGAGGCTTTCTGCTCCCGTAAAGATTTACAGCCTCAGAAACCCTGTACAGGGTCGCTATGAGTCAGAACCGACTCCACGGCACATAACAACAACAACAATACTATATCCTTTTGTAATTGAATTTTTCACACAACATGATGTTTTAAGATTCATCCATGTTGTGCAGCATGCATTTGGACTACATTTCTTTCTTTTTTTTTATTATGATTTGAGTGAAAGTTCACAGGGCAGATCATCAATTTCACATTCAACAAATCATATACTTTGTTTCATTACAATGATCATAATCCCCCCTCCATGTTCCATCAGTCAACAGCATTCCTCTCTATTCATTTTAGCTCTTTTAAAAAAAAACAAAAAACACTCAGGCATATATAATAACTTCTTTTTAAGGCTACATTAATATTCCACTGTAAGCTATAACACATTTTGCTCATCCATTCATTTGTTGAACATTTAGGTTGCTTTTACCTTGTGGTAATTGTGAATATTGGTGCACCTGTATCGGTTTGTGTTCTTGCTTTCAATTCTTTTTGTAGATTCCTAGAAGTGAAATTGCTAGATCATATGGTAATTCTAGAGGAGGATCAGCAAAAAAGAGGAAGACCTCCAACATGATGGATTGACATAGTGGCAGAAACAATGGGCTCAGCCTAATTGTAAGGATGGTGCAGGACTGCACAGTGTTTTCGTTGTGTGGTGCAGAGTATAGCTATGAGTTGGAGCTGACTCAACAGAACCTAAAAACAACAACACAGCAATTTTGTTAACTTTTTGAGGAACTGCCAGATTGTTTTCAATACCAGCTGTACAATATTACATTCCACCAGCATTGAAGGATGGTTCAGTTTCTTCACATTCTTGCCAACACCTGTTCCATGTATTTTTAAAATCATAGCCATTTTAATGTGTGTGATTTTTGCATTTATCCTTGGTGTGGCACTGTAGAATAAGCACTGGACTTCTAATTACAAGTCCAGTAAGTTCAAATCTACCAGCCACTCTAGGAAACCCTATACAGGGTTGCTATGAGTCAGAACTGACTCAATGGCACACAACACCAACATGATGTTAAACATGTGTTCATTGTCCATTTGCATTTCTTCTTCGGTGAAATGTCTATTCCATTTCCTTTTATGTCTTTCTAAGTTGTTGAAGTTACGTTACATCTGTATGAGATATATGTTGTTGCTAGGTGCCAGTTTGGACTCACAGGAACACTATGAACAAAGAATAAACACTGTCTGGTCCTGTACCATCCTCACAAGTGTTATGTTTGAGCTGATATGGTTCCCCAATTTTTTCTCCTTATCTGTAGGTTGTCTTTTTATTTTGTAACTAAAATCCTTTGATGAACAAAAGTTTTAAAATCTGAGGTCTTTATTTTATCTTTTGTTTTTCATGCTTTTGGTGTCATATGAGGGGACTTTAAAAAGTTAATGGTAAAAGTCTATTATCTTTCTACTCTTTTGTCTTTCTTTCTTTCTTTCTTTCTTTTTTTTTTCTATTCCTTTTCCCCACAAACTTATAAATGTCCCCTTGTATGTAAGAATCCGTTCTTGAAAACTAGATCCCAAATATTACCCTTATACTTTCTCCTAAGAATTTTATGAATTTAGATTTTTGATAAATTTTAAGTTAGTTTTCTATATGGTGAGAAGTATGGGCCCAGGTTCCTTCTTTTGTTTGTGGAGTTCCAGTAATCCTGGCACCATTTATTAATATCTTGTTGAAGATTCATTGACCATAGCTGTGTGGTTTATTTCTGGACTCTTAATTATGTTCCATGGAGTCCTAGTGTGGCGCTGTGGGTTAAAGTGTCAGACTGCAAAGCCATTTGAACTGCAAGGTCAGCAGTTCAAGCTCACCAGCTGCTCCTTGGAAACCCTATACAGGGTCGCTATGCGTCAGAACTGACTCTATGGCACTTAACAACAATAATTATGTTCCATTTGTCTATATGACTGTCATTATACTATTATCAAACTGCTTATTGTAGCTTTATGATGTGTTTTGAAACCAGGAAGTGTGAGTTTTCCTTCTTTGTTCTTCATTTTCAAAATTTCTCTGAGTCCCTTGCAATTCCAAATAAATTTGTGGTTGTGGGTGACTTCTCCATTTCTCAAAGACAACTGTTGGAATTTTGATGGGGGATTGCATTAAATCTGTAGATTGCTTGCTGTAGGTAGTATTGATGGAATGTTCTTGCATTTATTTAGGTCTTCTCTAATTTCATATTCAGGTTGCTAATTTCTGATGTACAGAAACACTCCTGATTTTTATATGTTGACCTTGTACCCTGCCACTTTGCTTAGTTACTTATTTTTCAAATTTGTGAAACTGAGCTTTCCTTCTACAGAGGAGCAAAATAAAGGATTCTGTGCTCATGGTCACCGGCCTGACAGATCATCATCTGTCATTGATGATCTTTGTTGTTTCAGGCAGGTGAGTTTACATACCTGTGGGGCACCGTACATGTATAGCACAAGGGGGTCTTGCTTGGGGATCACACACCAAGCTTTCTGCCAAGGTTTTGACTTTTCCATGTACTGCAGAAAGCTGCACACCATGCTATTTCCAGATACTTCTGCTGATTCAGTCTAGAAAAAATGTAATTGAGAGAAAGTATGTGAGAGAGAGACTGCAGAAAATGACCTATATTAAAAATTCAACTTAAGGGAAAACAAAGTACAATGTGTTTGTATGAAATGTCTCCTTGAACTGTCCAAGAAAGGACCATCTGCCATTATTATTTAAGTATTCATCGAGGTCTATTACTAGCCATAGGAAAATAATTGATCAAATTTTAATATCATTAGACCTTGAATTTAAACAGAGCTGTAACACTGTGGACAAAGCACTGGACTGAAAGGTTGGTTGGAACCACAAGAATGGCAGTTCAAACTCACCAGCTGCTCCTTGGAAACCCTATACCGGGTCACTATGAGTCGGAACTACTTGATGGCACTTAATAACAACAAATGGAGTCCTGGTGTGGTGCTGTGGGCTAATGTGCTAGATTGCAAAGTCAGTTTGAACTGCAAGGCTGGTAGTTCAAGCTCACCAGTCGCTCCTTGGAAACCCTCTAGAGGGTCGCTATGGGTCGGAACCAGCTCAACGGCATTTAACAACAACAACAATAACAACCAATATTTAGGAGTCCTGGTGTGGAGCTGCAGGATAATGCACTGGACCACAAGGTTGGTTTGGAGTACAAGGTCAGTGGTTCAAACTCACCAGCCACTCCTCGGAACTCTATACAGGGTTGCTCTGTGTTGGAACCAACTCGATGGCATTTAGCAACAATGTTTATTGACGTCTTACTACGCGGGCACTTTTCTTAACTTGTTACATGCGTTATTTCACTTAATTCTCACACCACTACACTGATAAGTCAGTACTTTCCTGGACTCTGAGGCTCAAGGTTTAAATAGCTTTCCCAGGATTATATGGAACTCTGGTGTGACACTGTAGGATAAGCACTGGACTGCTAACCACAAGGTCAGCAGTTCAAATCCACCAGTTGTTCCATGGAAAGCCTCTACGGGGTTGCTGTAAGTCAGAACGGACTCGATGGCACTTAACAACAACAAGATCATCTATTTAGGAATTGGCATGCTAGGATTTGTAGCCAGGCAGTGTGATTCCTGAGCCTAAACTTTTAGCCATATGCTACACTGATTCATTCTATGTAAGAATGTAATAGCAAAGAGACAAATACTGACTCAATCTTTTAAATGAACTGAGGTGGTTGCTGTTGCTAAGTGCTGTCGAGTCAGTTCTGACCCATAGTGACCCTGTATAGGGTTTCCAAGGAGCAGCTGGTGAGCTTGAACCGCCGACCTTGTGGTTTAAATCAACTTTGAAGTCCAGCACATTCACCCGCAGTGCCACACCAGGACTTAGATAATCAAAAACTGGTACTTTTTAGTTGCAATCACTTCTTGTAAAGCCATGTACAGTTTTTTTTTTTATTTGCTTCCTAATCATTAGCTAATAAAAGAGACTAAAACCATTTAACCAAATGTTGGTTTTATTACACACAGCATGGGAAGTAACTGGTTTGCTTCTATTTTCTGCTTCTGAAATCTCTAGGGCAGTGCTACTCAGTGTCATCCATGGAATGGTGCTGGCTTACAAATTCTTCTGTAATCATCTCAAGATCAGAAAAGCAGAATTAAGAGTAAGCATTTAGAAACTTAGAGCAATTTGGCTTTGCCAAGACAGTCAAGTGCAGGACTTTGAATTTTACAAAAATATTGATCTGAGTTGGATAAGAAAGTAAACTGACCCTTTATCACAGATACTTAAGAAGCATTGGCAGGCAAATTATGGCCAACACCAGCCCACTACTTATTTTTGTATGAATCATGAGCTAAAGTATGGTTTTGACAGATGAATATTTGTTATCAATTTGCTGATAGAAAACACTAACCTTGAAATCAAATGAAGTGACACATTATCCCACTAAAGAGAAGTCTACTTAAAAATTTGTAATAATATATTTTTTCTCTTGTTATAACAAGTACCTACACGATATCCTCAACTTAGTCCTCAAGACATACAAAAACAAAAATGTTTTCACTGTAGCTCTTTACAGAAAAAGTTTGTTGCTTTGTGATGTCTACAGCACCTACTAACACACTAACTGTTGTTGTTAAGTTCCATCAAGTTGATGCCGCTCATAATGACCCTGTATAGGGCTCCCGAAGAGTAGCTGGTGAGCTTGAACTGCCAACCTTGCAGTACAAATCAACCTTGAAGTCCAGCGCATTAACCCACAGAGCCACACAGAGTAATCTCAAATGTGCATTGACACACAATACTTCTACTCTGAACTTCATAATATGTTGTTGTTGCTGTTGTTGTGAGTGCCATCGTTAGTTCTGACACACAGCGACCCTGTATAGGGTTTCCAGTGAGCAGCTAGTGGGCTTGAACTGCTGACCCTTTGGTTTGAAGTCCAGTGTTGATCCTACAGTGTGAGTTCAGAAAAAAGATAGAGGTATTCTAATCATTCACAGAAGATGACTTTTTAAAATTTGGTATATACACACAATGGAAATTTGGTTAAATGACTTAATCTTATAGCCATTTGATAATTTCCTCCCAAATATAATATATATATATATATATATATATTTAGAAATTTAAATTTCAAAGATATAGCCTGAAACTATGGCCGTAATTTTATGGCTTAATCTTATAACCACTTGATAACTTTTTTCTCCAAATATTTAAAAAAAAAATTTTTTTTTAATTAGCTAGAAATTTAAATTTCATAGATACAGCCTGAAACTCACTCTTAAAATCAGTAATTGGGCTTATTATATTGTGCCTGTCTCATCAGCTGTTGCTCTTCCTTGGGACCACTGCAGCAAGTCATTCCAGCCTCCCTGCCATGGAAGCACCAATGCAGTGTGCCAAACAAGTAACACTTACTCCCCAGAAGAATTCAGGTTATCTTTTTAACTTGTGGGTCTATGTTTTAACTGCAAGTGGATCTTGAATTTTATAGTCTTTTTTTTCCAGTTAATAGAAATGACATGTCAAGCTTATAAAATGTTAAGTGTTCAATCAATACTTAGTGATTCTCTGTTGTTGTTGTTGTTGTTAAGTGCCGTCGAGTTGGATCCTACCCATAGCAACCCTATACAGGGTTTCCGAGGAGTGACTGGTAAGCTTGAACCACCGACCTTGCAGTTCAAACGGCTTTGCAGTCTGGCTCATTAACCCACAATGCCACACCAGGACTCCTGGTGATTCTCTAGAAATTCTTATATCTCCAATTTTAGCTACATAGAGTTTTGATCATGAGCCCATTCTTCAAAGACTTTCCAGGTTGTCTTTTTTTTTTTTTTTTAATGTTTTATTGTGAATTATGTGATAGTTTACATGGGAGAACATTAGTTTTACATTCATTCTATCGTATATCATCTCATTGCCATGGTAACAATCCCGTACCCCCCAGGTCTTCAGCACTCCCTCTCTGGATCTAAATCCAGGTTGTTTTTTAACTTCAAGCCATAATGACCTTATTATGTAATTTATCCCTTATATTCTTATTATCTTCAGGAGCTCTGGTAACATAGTGGTTACGAGTTGGGCTGTTAATTTCACGGTGAGCAGTTTAAAACTACCAATGGTTCCACAGGAGAAAGATGAGGCTTTCTGCTCTGGTAAAGATGTATAGCCTCAGAAATGCTATACAGGGTCACTATGAGTTGGAACTGACTCCATGGTACATGATCACCACCATACTTACTATCTTAGAGTATAAGATTCATTTCAGACACATGCTAGTCCTCAGGCTTGAGTCTGAATTTATTCTAAAACACGAGTCAAATTCACTTGCGAGAAACTTCAATTTGAAGTATTTTAATGCAGTCTGTCAAATTGTTGTCACTGGATATTTGATGATACATTTCAGGAGTTCTGGTGTGGCACTGTAGGCCAAGCATTTGACTGCTAATTGCAAAGTTGATGGTTCAAATCCACCAGCTGCTTCTTGGAAATCCTTTACAGGGTCACTGAGAGTCAGAACTGACTCTATGGCACTTAACAACAACTCAATGCAGTAAGTTGAAAGGGGTTTTCATATATCAATAAAAAAAATTTCAACTTCAATTTCAAAACTTTCATTCAGTGATTTTCAAATTTATTATTATGAAATTTGGGGGAAAGTTTTTCTAGAGAGAAAATGTACTATATTAGTTTGGACATTAGAAGAGATGCCAATTAATACTCTAATATGTAGCTACTTTCAACCAAATCAACATATTTTCATTTTCAAATACATATTGGTTTAACATGGCCCCATTCTTTCAATATAATCAAGTAGGATCCCAGGATAAAAGTCTGAAATATTTTCACTGATAGCCAAGTTGTTAAATACTCAGAAAAATAACAACATATCTTTTATATTTTTTCAAGGCTAAAAGAGAATTCAAAGTTCCTGGTATAAAAATCTAAAAGATATAAAATATTTAATGTTTATTTCATACCTCTAAAATTCCCTTCCTTTTCTTTTCTTCACTCTCGGTGAATCCACTTATTATTTGATAGCAGTCTTTACAAACTTTGCTCAATTTCCCACCATCATACTCAAGTTGCGCTTTGTAATCGGAACACTTCCAACAAACCACCTACAATGAAAAAGGGTACAGAGAAGTGAATAACCAGATCTAAAAAAGAATGATTACAAATCAGTTACAGGTTCTGTAATGAAATGAGAAATGTTAAAGGTTAAATGCAAAAGGCAGATACTTATTAAACTAAGAAGAACCCCATAAACATTAGGGGTGTTTATCATGATAATATGAACTATTCCATGGTTGCGGTAAGCTCTGTCAGCTCAGCGCATCCTGATTTCTAAAAGTGGGAGATGCTCTTGGTCCTTTACCTCTAAATGTTTTATGGACATCCTCCTAAAGCAAACTCAATGTCATCCTTGCCGTCAGCTCTCTCCTTACCTTACTCATGTCTGCCAACCTGGTTCCCTCTGCTAGTGCTTCCTACTGTAGGAAGTAGCAAACTCTTCTAACCAGTGATGACCAGTTATCCCTGATACCTCCCCATCTGCTTCACCCCACAGATTCACCATATTATGATAGCTTGCTGATTATATCTCAAATTGTTCTTCAGTCTGTCTCTTTTTCTTCATCTTCCTGATTATCACCCAACTCCAAGTTACTCAGTGTCCTAGTTTGGACTACTCACTGGTTCCCCTGTGGCATTCTTTTGACCTCCACACTTATATTTCTTCAATATATTTTCCAGACAGCAGCTAGATGCTTAAAAATGTGAATCTGAAACATTCCTCTTCTATTTAAAACTCTACAACGTTTCCTCTTTGCTCTTGGATAAAGATCAAATTCTTAGTTCTGCTCCTCTTACTCTTTAGTCACACTGGCTCCTTCCTGCCCCCCAAAAGTGCCTTCAGAGAGTTAACTCTAGCTTCTCCTTCAGCTGTTCATTCTAATTTTACTTCCTCAAGAAAGATACATCTGACTTCCAAAATAGAGAGTCTCTCCTGTCACTGTGCTGCTAAAGCTCCCGGCACTTTTGTCACAGCACTGGTTACAATTTTTAATTACATACTTGTGTGATTATTTGATTGAGGTTTGTCTCTCTCACTAGGCATGCGAGATTGTCCTTTGTCTATTCTGCTCACCAGGTATACAATAAACATTCACAGAATGTCAGCGAATGAGCCACTACAATGAAAATGCATGCGATTGCTTAGTGAATGGTATATTTCATGTCTGTATCTGCCAAATCATATCATAGTATTTTGATAATAATCCACATGCAAACACATTTATTTTATTTTTTAAAATCTCAGGTCAGTACCAGAAATCATTTCAAGCAAACTCAATGATGGATTAAAGTTTTACCCTGAGAAAAATAAGATCATTATTAACTTTGACTGTAAAACAGCCTAACTGAGTCAACTCTTAAGTCTTAAAAGAATAAATCTGCAGTCTAAGTGAGAATAATCTAAAATAACTAGAATAAGAATTGTTGTACTTAAACATACAAAGACACTGGAATGCCTACTCTTCTATGCTTATTCACTGCTTTTTTTTGAGAAAGCATACAATTTTCAACTTAGCTTACAAAGCCCTACAAGACCTGCCCCTACCTGTTTTACTCTAGCTTCATTTCATGTTTTGTTCCTTCTCACACTTACCAACTCAACCATGGTCAAATTATGTTTATATGTAGCACCATTACTTTAAAATGTTATCAATGTACTCAACTAGTTATTGTTTCAGATTTTTGGAGGAGGAATTTGAAGAAAATATCATAAACAACAAGACAGTTTATTTTTAAAGCAGTCAAGAAGCATGTAATAGAAAAACAATGTTTTTATATACACTTATACAAATATTTAGGATACAGAAAGACTGTATTAAAATTAAATATGTAGTTGTTACTAAAAGTGGTTTTGATTCCATCTAGTATGGCAAATTAGTCAGCTACTAAGAAGAACTTTTGCTATAATGTAACTTTTAGACCCTGGATAAAGTATGTTGTTGTTGTTGTTGTTGTTAAGTGACGTCAAGTCGGTTCCAACATATAGCGACCCTGTACAGGGTTTCCAAGGCTGTAAATCTTTACGGGAGCAGAATGCCTCATCTTTCTCCTGCAGAGCGGCTGGTAGTTTCGAACTGCTGACCTTAAGGTTCACAGCCCGATTTGTAACCACTATGCTACCAGAGAATATATAAAGTATAACAAATATAATTTTAATACTTTACTTGTTTACATAAAAGAAAGAGGAATAACCACAGCCCCCAAATCAAGCAATAGTTAAAGTGAATACAACAAATGCAAAGTTTGAATTGCCTCGGGTTAGGAACAGGGGTCCTAGAAGAGGTGAGAACTGAATCTGAGACTCAGACATGATATGTTAATATCTTTGAAAGGAGGACAATGAAGTATATAAAGAAACTATACCCTCACAATTAGAAAAAAGACAACCATACCAGAAAATTAACCATCATGAACTAGAATTAGTAAGAAAAACCAACTAACAGATTTTGACCTCTTTTGACCTCTTTTGACCTCTTTAAGGTTCTTCAGACATTGGCATTTTTAGTTTCAAATTATAAAATTATGTAAGAAATGTTAGAAAAAAGAAAATAAAGGAGAAAAGTTAGAATGGCAAACCAGATTTGTATGAAAACCAACCTTTCAAAAATCATAAAGTATTAATAATTGCCAGAAATTCAAGTCAGACTCAAAAGAGGGTGTGGAATAAGGGTATCACTGCAGATGTTGGAGAGATCTTGCCTGAAAGAAGAGAATACCAGAAGGATGCTTACTTGTGTTTTAATAACTTTGTAAAGGCATTAAATTGTGCGGATCATAAACTCTGGATAACAATATGCTCATGTGAAATCTGTACATGGACCAAGAGTCAGTCATTTGAACAAGACAAGAGCTGTGTGGTTTAAAATCAGGAAAGTTGTGTATGTTGGGGTTGCATCCTTTCACCATAGTTTTTCAATCTGTATACTGAACAAATAATCTGAGATGCTGAAGTATATGAAGAACATAGCATCAGGACTGGAGAAAGAATCATCAAAAGCCTGCAATATGCAGATGACAAACATTCCCTGGAGAAAGCAAAAAAGGACTTGGGGCACTTACTGACAGAAACCAAAGACTCAAGCCTTTGGTATGGATTACACCTCAACATATAAAGTCCTCATAACTGGTTCAATAAGTAAGACCACGATAAATGGAAAAGCCTTGCAGTTGCCAAGGATTTCATTTTTCTCAGATTCACTTCCATGAGATCCATTGTCCATGGAAAAAATAGTTATACTTAACAAATCTACAGTCAACAACCTTTTTAAAGTGTTAAAAATGACAGCTCTGTGATTGAAGGATCGAAGTGCACCCGACTCAAGCCACAGTACTTTCAATTGTTTGACTTGCTTGTGAAAGCAGCTGGTGGGCTTTACTGCTGTCCTCGTGTGCTCAAGCATAACAGTTGTGAGGATGGTACAGGACCAGGCAGTATTATGTTCTGTTGCAAATAGTGTTGCTATGACTTAGAACCGACTCAATGGCCACTAATAATGACAACAACATAGGGTTTCCAAGGAGCAGCTAATGGGTTTGAACTATGATCTTGTGGTTAGCAGTCCAATGTTTATTCTCCAGCATTACACCAGGAGGCCTTTTTCTCAAGTGGAGGATGCTTTCTTTTTCTCTCACCTCTGAGAATCTCCAGGAGAAGCTGGAAAAAAATTCTACTGTCTTTTCTTCCCCAATAATCATTCTTATCTCCAAAACTGCTGATATCTTTGAGGCCCAACATCATCTGGCTCTACTTTCCGTCTCTTCACCTTACCATTCTCCCGAGAATGTGTAATTACTGGATCACGGTCCTTCTCTCCACCACACTGCCTGGTGATTTATTTCAACATTCAAGTGCATGACTCACCAACTCTGATTTCTCAAATTCCTATTTCAGTGTCCTTCTCAACCAGTCTACCTTAGCTAACCATTCTCCTGGTCATACACTAGATTGTGTCATCACCAGAGATGGAGCCACATCTGACTTCTCAAGTTCAAACCATCTCATTGTTTTACCACCACCTCTTGTATTTCTTCTTCTTCTTTTTATTTAATGAACTAGGATTGGTTTGCCTAAGACATTGGTTTTTTGTTTTGTTTTTTAATGGGGGAACATTGGCTTTACACCATCATTTCATTACAATGATTATAATCTCCTCTGTGCATCATCATTCAACAGTATTTGCTTCCATTACAGCTGTTTTTCTTTTTTTGGGGGTGGGGGTGGGGTGGGGTAGGGAGATGTACACAAAAACACTTAGGAATATATAATCATTTAAACAACCAAAGGGCACATTCTGCAAGTCTGCCTCCTGGCCGCCAGCATTTAGTCCCTCTCTTTCCATGAGTCCAGAGTCCTCAGCTCCTCCCTCTTTCCATGTCCTCATCTCTGCCTCCATCTTTGGTGTCACTGTTTCTCTGGATAGGGTCCCACATTCTGCTTGTGCTCTTCGTACTTGATGGTCCTAGGGTCCTCTGTTTCTGGACTGTAAGATTAACTACTCCCCCGTTTTTGTTACAAACTTCTACCTTTATAGTTGTGACCATCGCAATTAGTCATGATAATAATTATTCACTATTGAATCATAAGAATCTTATCTCCATATCTTTTAACCAGACCCATCTAGACAAGATGAAAACTATTCAGTGGGGACTCTATCTTCTCCCACACACTCTTAAACTAAACTCCCTCTTGAAAACTTGTAAGCCAGTTACTTCATGTCTTTATCTCCCCCTCATTTTAGGTAGACAATGTCTAAGTCAGAACCAACTCCATGGCACTTATCAACAACACAACAAGACTAGATCAGGTGCTGTGGGTTAATGCTCCAGACTGCAAAGCCATTTGAACTACAAGGTTGGCAGTTCAAGCTCACCAGCTGCTCCTCATAAACCTTATACAGGGTGGCTATGGGTGACTTGATGGCATTTAACAACAACAACAAACTAGAT